GGGGTCTCGAGCTCTTAGAGGATAACTTGAGCCAAAGCTACTTGATGAAATACGGAAGAGTATTGATGACTCAAGGGAACAACCTAACCAAAGCCGGGAACCGTGCTACGACTAGTACCGGTGGAGGGGAGATGGGTTGGAGTTCACTTTCTTGACCACCCGGTTGGGGGGTGTGCTTTCCCAACCAATGAGATACACCTTTACGTGGTGGTTGGGATAAGTAGGAGATATAATCTCCGAAACCAAGTATCTCAATTTTTTTTTATTTATTTTTATTTAATTTAGTATATTTAGTATAGAAAAGTTTATTATATTTAATAATAAATATGTAATTTTTTAATTGTAAAATAATAAATTATTTAATAAATTAATAAAATTTTTAATAAAGTGTATATTCTAAAAATATTTAAATGTAAAAAAAATTTATCAATGTTAGTCGCGAAAATAATAGTAATTTTGTCTGCTTTCGAAATAAAAGTATTTTATCTAAACTTGATGTGTATATAAAAAGTTTTAGCGATTTGAAAATTTTTATCGGTTATCACGAGAAAATTAAATTTTCGGCGCTATAACTATATATGATCAATAAATCAAACTTGCATCATAAAACAGCTAACGGTTTTAAAATTAATATTTAACGTCTCAAAAAAAGCCAAGAAAATCAACTCCAGTTGGTCGATGATACATCATATAATTTCTAAGTAAATTAAAATTAAAATACATAGGATGATGTTGATACCGGTGTATAAAATCAATGCGCACAATGTAAAGTTATATATAAAATTTTACTTGTGCACATTGTGCACACTTTTGTGCGCATATTTTGTAATTTAGATTTATACACTGGTTGATACACGGCTTGTTTAAAATATCGTAATATATTAACATGATGAAATCAATTTTCGATTATAGCTTGCACTTTACAAGAAGTAGATAATTATTTAAGTCACTGGCGTTAAATCTTACTATATATTGTATTTATTAATATTATCGCATTATATTGATTATATTGTAAGTGACAATATATAAAATTTAAGTATATGCTTGAAATTTACAACATTTTCGAAAATAACCCTTTTTAGTGTACTCGAATCTTATACCAAACGTACTGGTATATAAATCAATCCAAACCGCCCATACATTTCTAATCCAGTTTGTTATACCATCGAGATCGAGTTCAGCACACTTCATGTATTATTCAACCGAAAAAAATATATACATATGCGTGTGAAAAATGGGTTTCATTCATCATTACCCTTCCGAACAACATCTGATTGCATTATATTCGTGTATAAGTCATCTAAAGCCTCTTAATATAAACCATAATCAAAGATCGAGATTAGTTCAAGCTAGATCACATTAAACCTTAATTGAGTAATCGATTTCCTAAACTTTTCGTTTCTACTTACAATTTGTCGAGTTGCTCTTGAAGTGATTGTAAATGACGTACGAGAGTTTCTTATACATAATACTTGTCTCTTATATCTATATATATATATATATACATACATGTGTATGAAATGAAATTGTATACACACTTTCTTAGAGACCATGTCTTCGGTGATTTTCACTATTAACTAGAAACAGAACTGCAAAATATTTCACTTGATTCAGTCGAAATTAAGCTGTCATCTTTAATCTCACCTGATTTTGAGAATTTAAAAACTTTCCTGGTGTATCAATTTTATCGTCTTCAGTAGCAGTACGTTTTTTTGAAAACGTAGACGTATCGAAATTTGATTCTAAGATACATTTAATAGGTTAAACTAACGACGTAAATGAGTACGATCAAACTTAGAATTTGCTAACACAGACATCAGGTGTACTATTGCCCCGTCTGTAGAAAAATGCAAATAATTTTGATGAAATAATTCTTTTTTTACTTTTAGTGGTACATTACTATCTGCTATATTGACTAACCGCTAAGTGTAAAGAAATGGGGAAGTAATCGTGTATACTTTTAATTTTTAAAACGTTTAACGTTAAAAAAACGCCAAATCAAATTCACGTGCACGAAGTTACTGGATCCGAGCAGGGCCCCTAGAAATTTTGAATCATTACGTGCACAAATAGAAGGTTTGCACTTGTATATAACACTTGCTATTGCTACGATTGCGTTGATGTTAAAACAAAACTCTGGACCCTACATGCCGGACTAAATTCTTCAGATTTTTTTAGGTAAATTTTTAGATTTAAAAGCCGAAACCAAAAGCTAGTTTTCCTTGGGTGTCGCTCATGCTGTATTATAGAAATATTTGGCTTGTGTTGAAGTTATTACA